AAAAAAAAAAAAAAAAAAAAAACCCCGACAGACACTGGCAAACCCCACGGTTGTAGAAACAAACAAGGCAGGTACCTTTTGTCCTGGGAAGCAGAGGTAGGGGAGTTCGGTTGGTTGCTGAAGATCCGAAGAATTCCAAATCCACAGGACGATGTCTGGAGGGTCCCATCCCGTTTCTTGCCCTCAGCGACCACTTCCACCACAGCCACGATATGAGGGTGGTTTAAGGATGTGTGAAAATACAAGGGCTGCAGAACAGAAGCCAGAGGACGGTCTGAGTGATCAGGACACACACAAAGAGGACATGGGTGCTGTCCCCACCCCCAAGACCGCCTTCCTACCCGTACCGCAGCATCTGGAACCCTCTACCATGCCCTCATGTGGTGCACCGTATCTCTGCAGGATGCCAGGGACGCGGGCACACTGAGGTAACTCCCTCAGACTCAAACACTGCTGTCGGAGCTCTTTATTCCAGAGCACCCAACATCCAGGACATCAGGCATCTGCTGCTTCCGCTCCGGGAACTTTCCATCCCCTAGGAATTCCACCACAAGAAACACCAACAGACCCCAGGCCCACTAGAGCAGAAAGGGGCTAGAGCAGCTATGTACCCAACCCTGCAGCGGAACCCCAGGTAGGACCACGGTGAGATCAGCCCAAGACATAACACATCCACCACTACAAACACACATGCGTGCTGATCAACTCCCGCTCCCAGCATCGCCTGACACTCAACACAGACAACACACCCTCCCAGTGCTGCTTCGTGCATAACCATTTTGAGTTCCATCTGAACTAACTGTATTTAAACTATTAACAAGAAGAATCCTTGTATTTCTTTAGGTGCTAAGTAATTATCCCCAGTTCAGAGCCCAAAAGACTCAAGCCTTTTTATGCCGAAAATCACCTTGAGATCATTTTATTAAAAGATTCCTCAAGATCTAAGCCAAGTAGATGATATTCAAATTGATCTTAAGAGGTTTTCCACTCACACCTTTCCATTTCCAACATGCAAACGGCCAGTCTCTGCTTCCGCCTTCCTGCCAGGCCCAGGGAGAGGCGGCCTGGGAGGACAGCACAGGAGACTCACCCCTCTCCGCATCTCATATGGGCGCTCCCACTTGGGAATGAAAGCACCTTCACTCTGCTGCTGCTTTTCTATTGCATTAAATTCAATGCAGTTGTTTTTATTTAAAATTAAGGGGCCTGGGGTGGTGGCTCGCACCTGTAATCCCAGCCCTTTTGGGAGGTCGAAGCAGGAGGATCACTTGAGCTCGGGAGTTCAAGATCACCTGGGCAACATAGCAAAACCCCATCCCCACCAAAAATACAAAAATTAGCCAGGCATGGTGGCAAACACCTGTGGTCCCAGCTACTTAGGAGGCTGAGACAGGAGAATCACTTGAGCCCGGGAAGCAGAGGTTGCAGTAAGCCGAGATCATGCCACTGCACTCCAGCCTGGGTAACAGAGTGAAAAAAAAAAAAAAAAAAAAAAAAAAAAGGAATGCCATAAGCACAGTAGACAGAGATGGAGCCACCGATTGAGTTTGCTAATCAACAGGGAATGTTCATCCCCAGGCATCAGGAGTGGTGCTGAGCCCATACCCCAACACCCCAGCTGGGGGGCAAAGCACAGGTCACTAGCTGAGCACAGAGGCCGCCCCCCCAAGGCAGAAAGAGGTAAGGAGAGCCGAGGCTGGTCTTCTGCTCTATGACTTAAACTTGGAATAATCCTGCTATTAACGAGTCATTACCATGGTGTCACCGAGAAAACGTTTACTGTAATCACAGACTGTCAGCCCAGGATAACAGAGAGACGCATTAAAACATCAGCCATGAGATATAAATCGTTATTCTATTATCTTTTATTGCAATATGATGAAATAATGACCACTTACAGCTGACAGGTGGTTGGACTAAGAGAGAATTATGTTTGTTTCCAAGACTCAAGAACTGCTTTTAAAAAGCCCCACTGCAAAGTCGAGTTGGTCATTATCTCACCTTTTCTATTTATACCTGTGCATATCAGTCTTACGAACACTACCCACTTTCTCTATTGGCAATAAAACAAACATTTTCAACTGTGATACAGAGCAACAACAATCTGCCAGCTTAGAGGTCACCTTGAAATTACTCTACCTGAACCAGGTGGAACCCGCGGCTACGGGCATGTCCCAAGTACAAGTTTATGGCTATGCCTCTCCCTTCTGTTTACCACTAAAAATAATCACTCTGAGGCCAAAAACAACAGCAGCAGCAACAGAGCCCCAGAGCTGCTTGTCTCAGCTGATCCAACCTTAAAATCTGAAGAATCCATCTTTAATCAGAAGAGTCGGCCACTCCAAGTGCACCGTGTCTGAAAAGTTCAGATGGTTGTACCAGTACAATTACCAATTGATAAGGACATATGCTCTTTTCAAAAATCATTTACTGACCCTCCAGTGTGGGAACAGCCCCAAGCTAAAGAATTTATAAGGAACCTGGAAAACATAAGTCAGCTTTCAAGAAGCTCGAGCCTCGAAGGCTTTGTAAAGGACAGATGAGGCAGGCACAAAACTACGAGCAACTGAGACGCATGGCTGCACCCCTCAGGTCATCCCGGCAAAGTCACATTCGACCACGTCACGAGTGCCTGACCACCCCAATTCTCGCCTTACTCAGCCAGCAGCACCCGGCTGAGGAATACCTGTACACAAGCCCTTCAGTCTAGGGAAACTTAAGGAACGCCACTGCCATACATTCGGAAAGGAACATTCTCTGCATCAACTGAAATTGCACGATTAAAAGGTTAAGTCAAGCCCATCAAATCGCCTGCAGGGGAAGGCCACTTGAGACAGAGGAGGCAGGCTCTCTGTCACCCCTGCATCGCAGCTCACTCATCTGCACTGGTCAAGTTTCCTCCTTGACAGCATAAACAGATTAATAAATCATTTAAATGCTCCTGTCTTGGTGCCTTCATCTTCAAAACCACGGACACCATTTTGCCTCGGGGCCAAGTTTCCATTTTTCACCCACGGTGATGGAAGTGGAATTGGGACTCTGCTGATGTGCCTGGATGAAGAGGCTGCAGCCAGGCACCCCCCACAGCACTGCCACACGACCCAGCACCTGCATGACATGGGCTCCTCAGACGACGCTGGGAAGCAAGGCCAGAGAGGAGCTGAGCAGGAACAGAATGAGTCCCTTCCAAAAAACTGTTTTAATAAGCCTTTAACAGGGTATCTTCAGCCAGGCAAATAATGCAGAGACTTCATGTAGTTCCTACCCTCCGGCTCAGACTCACACTGCAGGTTCGGACGGCTTCCCAGACACTACCCCTCAAAGACAGCAGGGATCAGGGGAGCCCGTCGATTTCCACAGCAAAGCATCATGACAGGGACAGGGACAGCCCCCTGCCCCACGAATTATCCAGCCCACAATGTCAGCAGTGCCAAGGTCGAGAAACTCTCATTTGGAGTAAAAATGTAAACTTTAATCCTGGCTGAAAGGATAATACACCATCTTATCCATCTCTGCACGTCCAGCTCCTAAACACAGCCTGGCACGCAGAAGACCCTTAACCAACGTTTGTTGAATAAAAACTACTGCCCAGTGGGTCCCTGCTTATGGAAAAGCACATGACTTAATACTCCAGCAGCACTTAGGGGATGCAAACTCCTATCTCTCAAGAGCAAATAAATGAAGTCAGGAGGAGTTTCTTTTCTTGCAAATTAATTTCTTTTTTTTTTTTCCATAGGTTTTTGGGGAACAGGTATTTGGTTACATGAGGAAGTTCTTTAGTGGTGATCTGTGAAATTATGGTGAACCCATCACCCGAGCAGTAAACGCTGAACCCAATTTGTAGGGTATTTTTTGTTCGTTTGTTTGTTTGTTTTTGAGACAGAGTCTTGCCCTATCACCCAGGCTGGAGTGCAGTGTCGTGAATCTCAGCTCACTGCAAGCTCCACCCCCCAAGCTCAGGCGATTCTCTAGCCTCAGCCTCCCAAGTAGCTGGGCTTACGGGTGTGTGCCACCACGCCCAGCTATTTTTTATATTTTTAGTAGAGACAGGGTTTCACCCTGTTGGCCAGGCTGGTCTCAAATTCCTGACCTCAGGTGATCCACCCGTCTCGGCCTCCCAAAGTGCTGGGATTACAGGCATGAGCCACTGCACCTGGCCTCAATTTGTAGTCTTTTATCCCTCACCCTCTAGGATCAAGGAGTTTAAATCACTTGCCTGAAGTCCCACAGGGATCAGTGATGAAGCAAGATGCTAACCCACCCTACCTCAACTCAACGCCCACGGCGAAAGCCAGTTCTCCCTCTGATCCAAAGAGCAACTCCTTGGCTTACTTAGAAAAGTAAGTGAGCAGCATGATTACAACCCAAAGCAAGACATATCCAACCCCAGCTCTACCAAAATAAAAAAAATTGAGCTGGGTGCAGTAGTGCATGCCTGTAGTCCCAGCTACTTGGGAGGCTGAGGAGGGAGGATCACTTGAGCCCAGGAGTCCAAGGCTGCAATGAACTAGGACTGTACCATTGCACTCCAGCCTGGGCAACACAGTGAGACCCCATCTCTTAAAAAAGGAAAAGAAAGTGCTACGAACAGACAACAACAAAACTGACAAACTTACAGCTTTCCATTATCCCCAAATGACTGGCAGTTCAATCACTGCATAATTAAACCCTAGAAACATCACAGAGACCAATCATTTCTCCTTCTAAAAACCATTTTCTTTCATCTTCATTTCAGGTTCCAGGACCACAGCAGTGGTTTCCATTGTGCCAGAGAGGAAATCAGCTCTCCCCAGCTGCAGACAGACAGGCACACAGGGCCTGAGTTGGCCTCCCAGAGCCATGGAGCCTCCCTCTGTGGAAGCTGCTCGCTGGGACACGAAGCTGGCTTCTTGCTTTTGTTGTGATGATGTTCAGGACGTGCCTGCCCTCTGCTGAGCAACAGCAAGAGCACAGGAGCAGCAGCCGGGCTCTGCAGCCAGTGCTTCCTGTAAGCTCCAGAGCCAGGCCAAAGAATCCAGGCACTGGAAGGGCTCGCAGGAGTTCCACGTGGATTACTCTGATATTCCTTGACGGCATCCGCTTTTCGACGGGAAATTATAGAGCACTCATTGCTCTGACGAGTAAGAGCCACTCAAGAGGGGCTTTCTCATGGCTGTGATGATGGGAAGGGGCACAACCCAATTACCTGCGTCCCTCTGCCAGGGCAGGTGCTTTGGTGACACTGGGGCTGGTGGGCTCTGGGAGGAAAGATTCCCCTGATGGGGGTTTAGGCTGTTGCTGGAGAACCACCAGGATTCCTGCCCAGTAACTCCCCTCGAATAAATAGAGGAGGAAAAGAAGCCCGTCACCCAATGCCGGCCACAGTCATTAAGGAAAGAATCCAAGGGAAAAGTACGTCCACCTCAAAAAGAAAACTGAGAAACTGCACAGGACCGGGGCCTCCAGGATTATTTTTTAAAAGACACTTTTTTAGAAGTTGAATGAATGATTCGCTGGCTCAGAGGAAGTGAAAGGCAATTCCTCTCCACCAGGAAAGGTCTCAGAGAACACGGAATTCTGAGCTCAGAGCTGAGAAGTGTCTTGGGACTGCTCTCCTGCATACGGGCCTAATGTAAATAATTCATCATTTGCAAAAAAACAAAACAAAACAAAACAAAACAAAAAATCCCAGCTCTGGATCAAGACAAGCCTTCTGTGTTCCAAGTCTTTTTCAGGACATCGTTGTTTGCAAAGTCGTGCCACAGCCCCTTCTCTCGGGGTCATGTGTGACACGGGCACTCCACAAAACCCGAGCGTGCAGGGTCCATGCGTTACCATGTGGGGGCTGGACAGCCATGGGCGCTCCAAATGCAGTCCCCTGCTACTGGCAGCTCACCAACCCCAAAGCAGATCCCCCCAACCCACTGCCGATAGGCAAAGACCAGAAAAACCCAGGCAATTAGTAAAACCAGAGAAAGATTTTCGCCAAGTCTCAGAATCACCCCTGAAAAGGGCAAAGGGTGTTTTATGAACCTCTATTTCCACGGGGGCATAGACAGAGCAATCAGCAGACAGTGTGCAAACATGCTGCCACACCCTCATGCCCATGAATGCCCACTCCTGGGAGCACTCTGCGCTTCATCCACACTTGTGAGCAGATACTGTGTACATGGATGCGCACACACATTTGCACACACAATTAAGTTAACTAGTTAACTAAGCTGGAACAAAATCTTTACTCTGTATGAGAATGCCAAGGAGATGGAGGAAACTGCCTGGCACAGAACACGCTGCTCGACAGCTTGGCAGGAGGGATTCATTCCTGGCACATCACTGGCCTCTGCTGCCCGCACAGGGCATAGCAGCTGCAGACAGCAGGCTCCGCAGACAGGGCAAGGGCTTCAGCGTCACCCTCACAGCTCAAAGTGCCCTGGCCACCCCACACTGTCCTTGCTGCATTCCCTTCTTCAGCAACTCCAAGTCCAAGGGTGCAGATTTTTCCAGAGGCTTTAAGGGCTATGTTCCATTAGTCCCCCGGGCCCATCCCCAGCCTCAACAAGAGACGCACCCAGATGACAGGCCAAGGCTGAGCCGCGTGGCTCCCACAGTCGGCTGCCCTTGGAGCCACCAGCACAGGTATTCCAGACTCCGAAAAGCCATCAGCTCCTAGTCTCCCTAACACATCTGAATCGTGAACTGCACAGGCGGCAGGACACGCAGCTGCCAGGATGTGCTGAAATGCAAGTGCTGCCCAACTTCAGCTGCAACGGAAGCCCTCAGGGTGCACGAATGTAATCCCGAGAAAGGCAGAGAGACGCATCCCTTCCGAAGACTGCCCTACCACGCGACTGGAATTCTACAGGGATCAGCATTCTGCAGCCCAGAGAGACAGTAGGGAGATGGAAGCCCCCGCTTCTGGCCTGTGCAGTGAGGATCCTTAGGAAGGTCCGAAGCCTCTCTAAATGCAGAACTGAAGTCAGAGAGGGTGAGGGAGGAGGAGGGAACTGGCCCCGGCACCTCGGTGACTGCAAGGCATCCCTGGTTTCAGAGCATACTCCATCCCTCAGCATTCTACAGAACATTTCAGAACAAAAGGCAGGGCTCCTCAGAAGCAGGCGGTCACGGAGGCCACAGCAGGTGGTGCCATCAGATGCACAGGATCGTCGCTCCTGCCCCCACTCGCCACCTGGGAATAAGCTGGTAGAGTTATTCCATCTCCACGCACCTCAGTGTCCTCCTCTTTAAAATGGTTACACAGGATCCTGACCTGCACAGGAGGATGACAGGCATGAAATGACGGCATGCTTCTGAGCCGATGCCCGGCCACAGGAAGAGCCTCCCGGTAAAGGATGGCTACCTTCACCACCCGCCACACGGCTGTCACAGCACCAGGTTTCGTGGGGCTCACTGTGCGCACCTGAGGAAGCCAAAGCTAAACACCCCTATCCCCAGCAATTGGCCCAGCATCGTCACCACCAGGAACTCACGGCGAGGGGACCCCCTGCCTGTACAGAAACAGCACTCTAAGGGCTCACCCGCAGTCACACACGTGATTTACAACATGAAACCTTTTCTGACACGGCTGGCCAGACAGCCCTCTAAGAGGTATTTGCATAAGCTGTTTCACAACCTTCATGTCAGACATCTTTAGCTGTCATGACATACACTCTAGCCAGGCTTTTTATTGAAGCTTCCTGACCTCTGAGGTCATTCTCTCCCTCTACTACCCATGGGAGGAAAGGCAAGAGTCAGGACCCATCCATGTCAAGACACACACAATCCAAGCGCTGGGTGATGGTGGGGTATGGAGGCCTCCCTCGTCACCCACCTAAAGCATACCCCACGCTTGTGGCCCGAGGCAGAGGTGCTGACTGGCCAGAGCAGGGCCCCACAGAAAAGGCACACCTGGGCAGTGGTTATCTAGAGTAACATCTCAAAGGACAGCCACTGTCACCCCCACTGCTACTCCTCATATAAACTGTCACAACACCAGGCCTCTTGGGCCTCCTTCTATACCTGAGAAAGATCAAACCAAGACAGATAAGACCCTCTCATCACCTCTGTCGCCTCCACACTGTCCCTGCTGCACACTCAATGTGCTCGGACACTGTCTCTCTCAAACTCCCCCCACTCGAGTTCAGCTGTAAAGCAGCAGCCAGGCATGGGAAAGGCCTCCATGACCTCCATGACATCGCCGGCTCTTAAGAGTAAAACGCCAGCGTCCCTAAGAAGACCCTGTAGGACCCAGTCAGAAGGCACAACAGGGCCACTCTGCCAACCCCACCCACTGGCACACCTGGGCTCTCCTCTTGTCCTAACACCCCCGGCTCTCCCCGCTCTGCTTGAAGCAGCCTCATCCCTGCTTGTCACGGAGCCAGCTTCTTTCTCATCCTGTAGGTCCCAGCTGAAACGGCAGCTTAGCAGAGAGGCCTCCCTCATCATCCACCTAAAGCAGGTCTCTGCGCTCTCCTATTGGTCTCCTCCTAAGAACTTAACTTGCAATTACTCTGTTACCTGCTCGGTGCGTCTCCCCAACAGTCTGCAGTTCTGTTAGGTGAGCGCCATCATCACCCTGAGCCTAGCAAGACGCCCTGCAGAGAGCAGGTGCTGAATGCAATGCACGCTGTGCAGTGAACCGCAGTGACAGGGCGCGCCGGCCTGTAGGGTGGCCAGCCACAAGACCACCCGAGGGAAAACACACTACTCAACCAGTGCCCACCCACCTGCCGGTCCTCAAGACAGAAGGCACAGGTGTGAGTCCAGGCTCTGATACCTGCTACCTACCTGGGCAAGTCACTTTACTAAATCTTAATTTCTCTACACAGGAGGGAGGGAAGAAAGGACGGAAGGGGAGGGGATACGGGAAAGGGACAGGGAGGGGAAGGAGAGCAAGGGAGAAGGGAAGTGGGCGGGGTGGGTGAAAGGGAAAGGGGATGGGTGAAAGGGGAGGGAAAGGGAGGGAAGAGGGGAAGGGAGGGA